TGTTTGGGAGGAGCAGAGGTAATGAGGGCGGAGGAGGCAGGGGAAGGCAGGAGCAATCGAAAGCGACGCCGGGCTTACCGAAGCTCAACTTCTGAACTGCTCTCGGGATTTATGTTAGCGGGAGGCAAGCGGCGGCGGCGCGAAGTACTGGAGTAATCCGGGATTCGAAATGACTTTTTGTGTGTCGTGGGAAGAGCTCGAGGATTAAATGCTGATGCTGCACAAATGGAGGACTTTCGCATGATATTCAGAAATTTGGTTCTCAAACTTTATGCTTAGCACGGTGTTTAAATCACTATTTAGACATTACATTGAAATTGTAACGAATGCAAAGTTATAAAATATAGAGAAACTTAAGAATAAAAATAAATATCGATGCTACCCGAACAATAAACATTTCTTTATAAAGTAGAAATATTTATTACATCGTCTGCAGGGTTGTATAAGAGGACGATCAGTTTTTATTACAAAACACTTTAAGAAAATTATTTAAAAAATCTGTTAAACCGCAGACCTGCTAAGAAATATTTGATTTTGAATAATCAAAAAGTGCATTCGGAACCGAATCAGGTTCTTGCCAACAAGTTGTAAGAAATACACAAGCTGTATACTAACTGAACAGTCAAAATAAATGCACATGCAGTCAAAATAAATTACACTGAAGCTGCTAGAAAGTCGCGCTATTTCTTTAATACAGCATATTCTTTGACGAATATGATCAACACGATATTGATAAGGTGAAAACCAAAGCAAGATCTTTCTTTTTGCTGTACCTGCTACTATAACTTCCTGATCTGATAGTATAAAATGACAACTTTTCTCATTTGTTTTTTCATTTAAGTCAAAAAGCGTTTGAAAGCGTTAAAATTAGACGTCAAAAAGGATTAAAATTATTAGTTCGCAATCAACTGCTTATGTTAGTATGTGAATATGTACAGAAATAGGAGCGTTTGTAACAATGATGAATGTGGGTTTATGTAATTACTTATTAGCAAACAACTAAGACAATTTGAATTGCACTTCGGTACGCTTATTTCCAAATCTAATCAGCATTTTTGAAATGTACAACTTGCTACCCTCGAAAGTACCAAAATTAGAAAACTAATGACCGCCTAGCGTTATTACATGCGTGTAATTCTCATATTGCCGCGAATTTAGAGGAGTACTCATGTTCGAACGCGAGCTACACAGCAATCGAGAAGCAATCTATATTCCAGGAGAGCAATATGTTTGCACGTGACGTATGTGGGAAGCCAATTTACACTCAACAGCAGTTTTTGGTTTGAAAATTGCCACCCTCCTCCAATATATCAGCCCGCAGCTTGGTCTAATTAATTCCGGGTAAGAGGAAAAGCATGTTAGTGCAGTTTTATGACGTAACCAAAACGTGTTACTATCGGTGTCTGCACATTTGACACTCGAAAGCAATCAAACTAAAAGCATAAAGCACTCGCACGAAGATATTTTCGAGTTGCTTGGCGTAAAAGACAAAGTGGAGTATTTCGTAAGTCAATCGTGCGAAAAAATGTAAATCATACATGCAGGCACTTAAGTAAGGAAGATATTTTTAGAAAATAGAAAAATAAACTATGGAACATGCACTAAGGCGATTTTTCTTACATTCAGAATATGTTTTCTTCTCGCCAATCACAAGGTGCAATGCATAAATCACAGGAAGCGCTGCAGTGTGTACTTCAAACACGAACACGATGTTAATAATATTTGGCGCATTCAGAATATACTGACGAAGGATATTATCAGCAATCTTTAAAATGAAAGCTAACAATATCCCCAGGTGATATATATTTATTATTTTTTATTTATCTTATTATTTATTTATTATTTATTTATTATATTTATTTATTTACTTTTATTATTTATTTTTATTTATTTATTATTTAATTATATTATTTTATTATTATTAGTTATTATTTATTTATTATTTAATTTATTTATTATTTATTATTTTAGTATATTTATTTATTTATTATTTATTATTTATTTATTTATTTAAGAAAACGATTTATCACTACACACAAGGCACATTTAATATTTCATTGCCTTTTTTTAATCGCATTTCTTTGAGTGCACCAAAAAAGTTTGAATACCTTATTGAAGCAATACGCTTAGCGAGGAAAACTGTTTACAAAGTCTACAAAACTCACGAAACACTTAATGTAGTGTGCATATGTAGATGACTTCAATTACGAGAGGGTGTATGCGCAACAGGCGCTGAGATTGTGTACTGCTGAGAACAAGAGAGATACGAAACACCTGAAGGGAGAAGGGAGGTGGAGTTTTACACAAATATTTATGGTGACTATTCCATTCGTGAAATTCAAAGCAATAGCTTTGAACTATACATCTAACATCAACCAAACCTTCTCGCCAATCACAAGGTGCAATGCATAAATCAAAGGAAGCGCTGCAGTGTGTACTTCAAACACGAACACAATGTTAATAATATTTGGCACATTCTGAAACTTTGAGGTAATTTCATTCGTGGAATAATCTTTTTGCATGCCAATCGGGCATTGAAAATTTTCAGAAAAATTCCCTCGACACTACTATCGGAAATTTACTATGCACTCATATTATTACTTAACCATAAATCTTGTGACTAATAAGAAATTGTAACTGTTTACGTACTAAGATATTCCGTGTACATTATTTATATGTGTCATCCACGATATTCTTCGCATTATGTGGCAAACAACAGATTGTGCACCGGTTGATACTACTTCGACTCTTACAAAAACAATTTCTTTTAGCGACCCCGGCGTGGTGTCAAGAGGCGAGCCGTGATATTACGTAACAATAACGTCGTTTTTGTGCTCGGGATGAAAATAAATGAAGACGCGTCGGGGTCGGGTCTTTGGACGTAAATCAAACATCCGTTTCATATCATTGACCCGGGGCTCCCCATTTGGAATCCGATTGTATTTTCCAGGCTGTTCCGTGCCAAGAGGCGCAAAATAATAAAATAGGGGTGCGATTTATTGAAGTCTATGTTTTCTCAACATCGCTGTTTTACTAGAAACATCGATGTTTTGTGATCGATTTTTTACGCTTCCGATATACGTTCGCCGAAGAACAATTGCCGTTACCCTCAATTTTGTGAAAGTTAAAATATTAAATATGGTACCACTGGCTGTTTATGTGTTCGAACAACACGAACACTGTTCGCACAGCGTTCATTGAGCAGACTATCTCTCGCCGGGGATGATCCTGATGTCCTGGAATTTCCTTCGTCTTCCCTCTAATTTAGCACATGAAAACGGCGTTTTTTTAACTTTCATTTTTCAGTTAAATTTTTAACTATAAATTCCACGTCCACAGCTAAATTAAATTTCCTTGCGCACGAATTTAATGTTACATGTTACTAAACTACCTTCAAAATATCGACGTTTGAAACTTCAATGGATTTTCGTCGATGTATTATTAACATCGATGTTTTAATTTTGAACATCGATGTTTGGCAACATGGACGTTTCGTTGCCGATGTCGCATCACCAGGGGCTGCCCATTTCGAACCGGAGGCGATCGTATTTCCGTGCTGCGAAAAAGTCGGGGCCGCCAGGCGCCAACGAGCGCGCCCGAGACTTCCGCCTTCGCCCGGCCGCCCGCTCGCCGTTACCATGGCAACGCGCCCGCGCGTCTGCGGCGGAGTGGCTCGTCGGGGGCGTGGCGGCGAGGGATCAGACCGTCAGCTGTTTGCAGAGGCTCTTACGCCCACGCGACTCAGCAGCCGGGGGGTGGGAT